CTCTTCTCTTTCAATGAACAGAACCTAATTTGTGACCAGAAAACAAGTTCAAAACACGAATTCCTCCTAGAAACCGCCAGATTAGTTCTTAGTAAAATGGAAAGCCTCTGAGATGCATAAAACTACTGCTAAAGAATCTGTGAAACGTCGAAAATCGGAAATCGAAACTGCCTCAGTTTCATGGAGATTGCCGAGGATATTTTTCATAGAATAGGTCATGGATTACTCAGGCTCAGGCCTTGTTATTGCAAGGAGTAGATGGAATATAGCTGGCAGGAATAATGCGGAGAGCGGAAACCGGAAATCGGAAGTTGTTTTGCCGTATACCTCCCATATGTAGCGGGCCCAATGCAAGGAATATCCATCGATGCATGAAGAAGAATCCTTGCTAGCAAGTAAACAGTTCGTCTCAGAAAAGTGCAGCCCTCTAGATGAATCAAACTTCAGTCAAATTATAAATTTTGCTTTCGAATTAAAAAAATCCCAGCTTGCTCAGCTCAGCAGGCAAGCGGTATGTAGCAGTATCCAGCCGTGGTCGTCACTGCAGGCGCTACGGCCTGTAAGGAGGGCTCGAACTGCCGCGGCGCCAACTAAGTGGTAGAGAATGGGCTGGCGCCGCGCCAAACCGAGCCCCTGACACCCCAGGTGTCTGCAGAGAACACTGTACATGCCTGCCACTCACTAGGCCGTGATATCCAAACGATTTGGGGTCGTTGAAATTAAAATTCTGGTTGGTCCAGTCAGAATGCGCCATGCCTCTAGTTTGCGTCTGGTCTTTTGAGCGTTGGAATGGGTCTAGAAGTCAGATAAGCCATGAGACAGGTTTCAGGTGAAAGCCTTAAGACAGATTTCAAGTAAAATCAGTTTTGGGCCAAAAATAAGCTTGTAAGAATTTAGCCCCTCATATTAGTTGTAAAGAACCCAGATAATTATGGAATAGAAATGAGGATTCATAAACTTCGTCCTGAAAATCGCTCACGCTGTGCCTGGTACTGTCCAGGTTGCTATAAGGACGGCGGCGCCGGCGCTCAGCATAGCCACGAGAACCGTATGGCTGATTTATCCGCTTTGCGTGGTATAACCGCTCCTGGTTGATGGAGCCTATTGCCCATACCGACGTTGTGGTGGATATGGCTGAGCTGACGATCTGATATCGGTGATTGAACTGCCAATTGGTGGTGTTGGATCGGCTTGATTGGGTTGGCATAACCGGCTGGTTGTGGCTATTTCCTGAGGTCCACCTTGAGGATAGCCTGATTGCGGAGGATATCCTCCTGACTGAGGTGGATATCCTCCCGGTGGAGGATATCCTCCTGACTGAGGTGGATATCCTCCCGGTGGAGGATATCCACCTTGCTGTGGTGGATCATTGGGATAGCCGCCTGGATGTTGGTATCCACCTCCTTGTTGCGGATAACCTCCTTGTTGATCGTAAGCGTTATAGCCAGCGTTTCCTGGTCCAGTTGGTGGAGTGTAGCCGCCACTCTGATTACCGTAATGTCCTTGATTCATGGTGGACCCGTGGTCTTGTGGTTGTTGCTGTTGCTGCTGACCGCGATTGCCTTGGAGCAATTTATTTTCCTGAAAACGGAAACAAATCAGGAAACAGCTGAAAAACTATGAATAGGGAATTTTTTATGGATTGATGGAATCGAATCTAGTCTGTCTTGGGTAAAAGCTAAAAAGCTATAAAAAATTTAATAAGTATCCTCAACGTGCCGGACCTTCAAAGGGGCCTAATGTTTGCGAAAACTGACTTCAGGGTTTCCGCGAAGTGCGGTACATTGGACAGAATGTTTCGGGAGTGCAAACTTTGGCAAGCTTTTTCTATTTTTCCAAAGGAGGGAAAAATCCAGTCCGAAGCGGTTTTCCTCAGGATTTAATCTCCTACTAAATTTAATTCGCACTATACTTGCAGTAAACCTTTAAAGCGCTTGATGCGAACTGGAGCGCAGCCAGCGCGTCCTTTTTCCACCAATGATGACATCCCGATCCTGCTCCAACTGGTGGAAAATCTTCCCTGACTGCGCGTCAGGACACGCCCTCCTCGCACACCCTATCGTTTGCAGGGATCATGGATGTACTCTGTCATGAGAGTGGTGACAAATGGCGTCAACAACTGGGCATACAGTCCGTGAGTCAATTTCTGAATCGATGTTCGCCCGGACCATCTAGCTTTTTCTCTCCTCCCCCCCCCAACCACAGGTTACATAGACCTGTTTGGGAGGGCAGCAGCTGACTTGTACATCAGCTGTCCTCTGCAGTAAAACTACGACAACTTTCAGTGGAAGTGAAATGTGTGGCCCATCTAAAACAAAACTCGTTAACGACCAGTCCTCTTATCCTCTTCCAATTAACTCTGTGAAGTCTCAGTTGAGGAAAAAATCCTCAGACCCCCCAGTTTTTAATGGGAAACAATAGAATATTCGACAGAACTTTGGGAATGAGTAATCGTACTCAACAGCTGTTAGAATGATAAGTTGTTTGTCCGTGGAAAAACCGACAAACAGCCGTCCGCTATCAGTAAAAACACCCCATTACAGTAAGGACATCGGACGAACGCCGATACCATTGATCAGAAGGAAATTTTCAGAAAATAAACAAGTGGAAGCAGGTCCAGCACGACAGGTACTTAAAAGTGGGCTTTAAGAGACGTAGTGGGGAAGGTGTCGATACAGCTGGGATGTCGCTGTATCGATGGTATATCATGTATGGAGTAGTACTACAGCTGTGTCAACAGCCCCCCCCCTCTATCCTTAAAGCCCACCTTCCCCTATATCCTCCTTTCCCTTATTGAAACTTTCCAGTTCAGAACATTCTCTATTCTGTTCGAAAATTCCTACGCCCTTCTCGTTA